AAAACTTGCGTGCGAGATAGACACTGATCACCATATACTTCTGTCAACAAATTGTAAGTTTCAGTGGCAGATTTTCCAAGTTTTGTGAGGAATTTGATGTTAGCACGTTGTTCTGCATTAGCACTCAGCATTATTCCGACGGAGCTCAGAAACACGATCCGCTTCTAACAATGGTCGCGGCCAGACTAACCGATGCACGTGAATGAAACTTTGTGTGACGGTAGAGGGAAGTCCAAGGGTCAATGCCCTACCCTCCTCTTCGTCAATGACATGGCCGGAAATGAGTCATAAAAGTAATCCGGGTTCTTTATTGCCACACCTTGTATATTAATGGGATGGAATTTTATCTTGGTTGCCTCGCTGATGTGCAGTGGAGAGGATGCTGATGTTATGAAGCTGGATGTGGTTCCCAAAGTTGATGCTGTGCTCTGTCACAGCTGACATGTCTGGATGTTTCAGCCAGATATGCTGATGGTGGTTATCAACCTGGTGTTAATCAAATGGCCTGTGTCCAATATGGACCTGACCCCATTCACAGAGGATCCTGGATACACCTAGTGTCTTCAGTCCTAGGTTGCCTTTGGCTGATCAAAGGAAACTAGATATTTTCCTCAGGGGAAGGCCAGCTGACTTGATGTACCATGACCAAACTTAAGGCAACAAAGTGAATGAATCTGGCATATCGTTGGGCAGAAAAATCATCGCAGGAGGATTCAGTGCCCTGTGAATCCACCAGGTGCTACAGCTGTTCTGCCTGAAAATGTCCCTTAGGAATACCAGCTCTGCATGAAGGCTGTCCTGTTGACATGGATCTCCAGACCTGTGCACTAATGCCAAAGGTATGGTAGGCTTGTTGGATGGGCATTGATGGGAATTATATTGGAGATAGAGGTTAATGTTGGAGGTTTATGGTATACATCATGACCCAGGGAGCCATGAGGTCTTGTGTGAATATCTGTGTCCAGGAAGGGAAGGTGGCTGTCTCTTTCCATCTCCATGGTGAACTGAATGTTGTGGTGGTCACTGTTCAGGTGGTCAAGGAAGTCTGTTGGCCCAGATGATGAAAGTGTCATTTATATAACGGAACCAGCACAGGGGCTTATCCGTTGCCCGGTCAAGCACCAAATCCCTGAAGTCCTCCATGTAGTGAATTGTTGCAGGACATAGAAAAGAAGATCCAGGTTTAATATCTGAAGTCAGTACAGGAAAGACAAAAAGTCATCTGATTTTGATGATAATGAATAGTCTTGGTTTGTGTATCATAAACATGATAATGGAAAATGTCTGTATTTTATTAAACATTGAATAAACATGACAGCTGCATGGTCTAGTGCCAAATTATGATTGTATTTAGGACTCAATTTAAGTAATTCTGTTTTGCATTCTCCCACCCTCCATTGCAGCATAGTTCCTTGAAAGCAGTTGAACCTATGCCTTAAGCAGTACCCATACAAACATTTGAATGAGAACAGCCATGTACCCCAGCATGTTAAAATTGGTTCTGGTGGAGGTGGAACGTTTGGTCCTACTGCTTTAAAGGTTTCTTTTCTATAAGTTGCTTTAACAACTATCTTCTCACAGAAGACACCAACTTGTCACAAGTGGAAGAATTGCACAAATAGTTTCTGCAACATTGTGCAACACATGGGCAAGGCAAGTCAGATGTGTCATATTTGGAAATATAACTTTAAGAGCAGTACCGGTTTTGATCATATAACTTGCAGCATCAATCACAAAGACCATTTCATGCTCATACTGAATGTCATTTGGCCACAGTAAATTCATGGAATCACTAAAAGATTTGGAAATTGTGGATCTATTTGTGGTTTCAAATTGCTCTACCTAAAGAAGATATGGAGTAGATTGTTCATTCTTACAAAGGGATCCAACTATAATATTTGCAATAAACCATTCCTCGCAGTCTTGTGTTTTGTCTACTGATACCCACACAAAATTATCTTGAATCTTATCTCTAATATTTTCAGTCGTAAGATTGCAACACTGCTTCATGTAATTTTTGCGCACAGTAGATTCATCCAGCACNGCTATTTGTGGTTTCAAATTGCTCTACCTAAAGAAGATATGGGGTAGATTGTTCATTCTTACTAAGGGATCCAACTATAATGTATGCAATAAGCCATTCCTCACAGTCTTGTGTTTTGTCTACTGATAAAATTATCTTGAATCTTATCTCTAATATTTTCAGTCGTAAGATTGCAACACTGCTTCATGTAATTTTTGCGCACAGTAGATTCATCCAGCACTTTGCACTGTGTATACTTCTCTATGAAGTTTCTCAGAGTAGGATTGGTTAGTTTCCACAGCGGAATATCTGCTGCTAAAAACGCTTCGCATAAATCAAAGGAAAACTGTGAAAAACTATTAGAAAATGCACTAAGCAGTTTTTGAACAGGAGCACTTTTCGTGAATTTAATTTTAATGTTCTATTTGTTTATATTAGTGTTCAAATGCTGAAGCACTTGGAAGCGTTTTTCACAACCACTTGTTTTTTCACACACTCAACAATAAAAAATTTGTTATCCATAGTTATCACTCTCCTTCGAACTCCTGCTGATACAGCTGTAATTTAGTTTTCTCATGTACATTCACTTTAGGAATGACTACAAAAAGCTAAAGAAATTTAATCACAGACTAGTCACCACTAGTATGAATGACCCCCAGCTCCAAATGAAGAAGCGTAGTGAACCTGATGGAGACTTCGGAAATAAATAAATGATTTCCATTATCCGTTGAACAGTATTATGTTGCTAGCAGCTACATGTGAATATGGTTCTGAGTTATTCCTTTCACAGCCACTTTAATGGTATGTGGATGAAGCAAGTTAGGAGTAGATGGATTGGGGAAGTTCCATCTTGGGGATGCTCATCCTGGGAATTGCATCAGAAACATGAATCCAGACTGAACTCGGTGTTTGTATAACGAAATGTTGCGAGTCAAATATGCAGCATATCCTAATACGGAAAAGAAAAATTGTATGTATGCGATGTTGATTGAAAATTTAAACACACAATTAAAAAAATATATATAATGATAAATAGTTTCAAAGCAAATCTGCAGCATACTCGTAAATATATATCTTCAAAACTGTTATGCTTATACATAAACCAGGCAAAATATGCATTTATATGCACCATCAAACCATATCTAAAATTTAAGAAATGAAGTAGCTCATATCCAGATGAGCATACCTTTTGGTTGTGAGAAAGAAATGTGCATTTGCATTAAAATCTGGCCCCTAGTGATAATAAACACATGTACACATTTTATATAGAAGTGTTTTCTGTGTTTTGAAAATTAATAGAACAGAGTTTAAATTTTATGTTCCCTTAAGCTCAGATATTTCCATTCTGTTGTTATGTAATTTTTATTTGTTGTCAGTGTAGCTTTGAAAACGAGAGACGTTCAGAATTGAGGGAAGTGTGGTCTGGCTCATCACATGGTGACAGCATTGAAATGGGGAGTGAACAAGCAGAGCGAGTGAGAGCTGCCATGGCAAATTTTTCTCTGCCTGCATCAGCAATTCCTAGTTGGGCATCCGCAGTGCCAGAGGAACAGTGGAAACAGCAGTTGTTGGACCGAATACAGAGGCAGCAGCAACAGCAGGGCGATGGACAGCCAAAAATTTGAATAACGGCAGCATTTAATGTGTTTTCATAGTTTCAGTGTATGTATGTTCATGGTTGGTTTATTGTTATTTCTGGAGGATGTTGTGGTCCAGGGGAAAGGCATTGAATTGAGTGTGAGACCAGGCCTTACGATGGCCAGTATTTGAGCTTGCACTGAAGCCAGTTGATGCTGTTAAATACAGTTGATCTATCATAACATGCTCATTTTCACCACTTTTTCTGAAATTTATGTGTCACTGATGATTATGTCTGTACAGTTTGACGAGTTTAAAATTGTATAATCTGTTTTCAGGGTGCCATTCTCACTCCTCCTCAGTTGGTATTAGTAGTGTAACTGTCCCCTTTTATTGCAGTTCATTTTATTTCTCAGGATGCTGTTCATTGAGCGTTAGAGTCAAGTATAATTTGTTACAGGATGTGGTTTGCAAGGGTGCCGTCTAGTCAGCGGTTTGCACAGGATCACAGTGTCCCTGATTGGGATTAATAAAGAAGTGAATGTTGGAAAGCAGGTGGACTGTTGAGCTGAGATGATCAGTAGTATAGATGTTGCTGATTCTGGGATGTTTTTGTCTGTAGGGATCATTGTTCAAATTGGACATGACAGTAAAGACAGAGTAATGGACTACTGGTTGAGTGCTGAACAGTATCTCAGCATTCTGTAGCAATGCATCAAAACATGGCTGATTATTGCACATTTCTAATACAAATGCATGCTCAGTCATGAATCATAAATATTGTAAAATTGAAGGTATGTACCCTTCTTTGTTGTTAACTGCTTTATGTAAGTATATTCTTCATCCTTGTGTTGCCCAGTTGATTATCACCTTGGTGTGGTATTCCTCAGGGCACCCCAAGATACACAGACCCTTGTCACACTTCTGACACTTTGTAATAATACTTCTTTTTCTTTGGTTGAACAGATGTATCCTTTTGGCTGAGGAAGATGCCCATTGTTTTCAGTTGGCCTCCTCCAGGCAAGATACTCTAGTACACTGGTTCCTAACCTTTGTGAGACCGCAGTTGGTAAATTCTGTTTTTTTATAAGTCAAGGACCTGGTATAATTGATGTCAGGGCCCAGTACCCGGCCATGGCCTGGTGGTTGAGAAACACTGCTCTAGTAGACAGCAGGGTTTTGACCTACAGAGCATTCTGGGCAAGGAGGACCCGTTGCAGCATTTTCCTCAGGCAGGTGCAAGTCTAAAGTCTTTGTGTGACAAATTTGTACCACAGAATGACAAGATGAAACTGTTTAGAATAGTGAGATCCACTAAATGGAAAAACAGTTATTATTCATTTCCAAATTTGGTGGCTGATGGAATAGCTGTTTGTCATCCAGTACTATTTGTTCACATACCCCATATATTTATTCTAGTCCTCGACTGTTGCTGGTTTTATGGTGTTTCCATGCTCAACACAAAAATGGCCTGCTGGAGGATTGTGCATGTTTGTCAGCATACATATATCTTGTTTGTCAAAACTAATGCTGCCATGTCACCCCTCACCCTAACCAAATTGTCTCCACTTTTTAGTCCGAGTCTTATGATGTGTAAGTATTATGCTGAGCCCTTGCAATTTGGCTTGATTGTCCCACAGCTATTTATTTTTTTCATTGTCAGATCACATAAGTTTAAGGATGAAAAGAAATTATCCATGTACAGTTTATGGCCAAGCCCCTCAACCCTTTTGCAGAGGTCCCAGACTGTAGCATGTGTGGCTGTCACATCTTGCCCTAAGAAAATTGTTGATGTTTAAATTGAGGGAAGATATCTTATCAACACAAAAGAATTTCCTCTTCATACATAACATGTGACTTTATTCTAAAACAGTAGGACTACGTAACACGCGACAACCATCTTGCTATACTGAAAACTGCACAGCCTTCTGGGATACAAAAAGACAAAGAGACTACAGTTTAATGAGTCAGTTCCATGACTAAAAGGAGTACATAATAGTGATTGTGGATTGTTAGAAAAGCTATACAACACCCGTCCTCAATTCTTCATTGAAACCGTCCGTCGCTCGTAGTGTGTCGTGTTCCTTGTCCTTGCAGCTGCTGTTTCCTCCTCTATAGGTCACTCCTGTTTCCCCTAACCATGATGGTTGAGTTTCTAATTTTAGGGTATGTTTGGGCGCCAGTGGTAGGTAGGAAATCTAGGAATTTCTGGTAGGGCATGGGAATCCTCTCAGGGAGTTTGACGGTTTACATTTGGGGTGACACAATTCACTGAAATGCCTGACTAACTCAAAGACAGTTGCTTTTATTTATTAACACTTAGTTCGATGCACTTGGTTACAAGCGTGGGGGATTGCAAAGCTGCTACGACCCCCTCTTACGGATGTTCTTTGTCTATTGAACTATCGGAGTACATCCGGACACATCTAGCCTACTCAAAGTCCCACCTTCGTGTGTGTCGTGTGGCGTCATCTTCGCCAAAGCGTGGTGAAGTCAACCCACGCAAATTCCATTACATAGTTCCACTACTTGTGCAATGCTTGCTGATTGGTTGTAAAAAGCTAATTATTCCAAATTTGACCAATAATGTCTCAACTTACTTACCCTTAAGGAAAAAGGTAACCAAAGCTCTTGGGATCCCCACTGATGTTATCCTGTATGTTGTCATTCAAGTGGTGAAGTCCCTTGGCTTATTGCGCACAAGTTATGGCGTGCATTCCTGGGCAAAAGAGGTCCTAAATGGGTTACCTAAGGGCAGTTCTAAACTCCGTTCGGCTTCATCATTCCACCAATAACTTCGAGATCATACCAAACATAACACATACTTAATTACTCAGTACAACTAATTAACTTCAATCATTACTATTTTATTCTTTAGTTTTGAAAACCTAATGAGTGGTAACGGTTTGGTGAACAAGTCAGCCTCTTGATTTTCCGAGTTTATGTAGTTAACTACGATAAATCCTTGTTCAACGCAGTACCTTATAAACTTATACCTAATGTCCATATCACGTAACCTTTTCTGACCCCATTCACCAGTACACAACTGATTGTCTTCATATATGATTACTGGAGTTTTCACCTTCACACCCACTTCTTCCAGTAACTTATTTATCCAAGGCAGTTCTCTTAAACCCTCTGACAAAGCATTGAATTCTGCTTCTGTTGATGACAATGCAATTGTGCTCTGTTTCTTAGTGTACCAATCAACTGTATTTCCATATACCTTAATTGCACATCCTGATACTGATTTCCTATCTTCATGTGATGCCCAGTCAGCATCAACAAATGACATTAGTTCAACATTATCATTACTTTGATATTGTAAACTGACAGTTCTAGTCCCATTCAGATATCTAAGAATTCGTTTCAAACCCTTCCATTGAATTTCTGTTGCATAATTTTGAAATCTTCTATAGAAATTAATTAATGCTGCATGAAACAGACTACCCAATAACTCTCTGTAAGGTCTCACTCCTATAATTGATATATTATCAGATTCTAAGTTCTCTGAAGGAGATATCTCTATAGGTGTATTAACTGGTTTGCACTTTTCCACGTTAAATTTCTTCAAAACTCTGTCCATATAAGCTGATTGATCCAAATATAGATTACGATCAGTTCAAGTAATTGAGATTCCAAGGAAATATGACAGATCTCCCATATCTCTCATTTGAAATTTCCTCATTATGATCTCTTAGGTTTTTACCAACTCTTCCATACAGTTACTAGCAATTATAAAATCATCTACATACAGTAGCAAATATAAGACGGTCTGGTTCTTATTACACACATACAAGCATCTGTCAGCATCACACTTTCTAAAACCATTCCCTTTGACAAACTCATAAGGTTTCCAGCTCTTCTTTTATAGCATTTCTCCATTCCATCCTATCACTCCTAACTTCTATGTCGCTATAACTCATAGGAATGTTGTTGGGTTTTCTGCAAGTTTTTGTGTCATGGGGTCCTCCGCACTTTACACAATTGTAGGGTTTCGTGCAGTATGTTTTACTATGGCCATAGTCTTGGCAATGTGTACACTGTACAGTACTAGTTTTTGGTCGTTCAACTTTAATTCTGATATGTTGTAAAAAATCTATATTGAATATTTCTTTATTATTTCTTTGGGGTTCTAAATCAGTGAAGTGTAGTGGGAGTGGTTCTTCACTCACTCTGTGCTTAACATAAGTAATGTTCCTTACTTTGTGGCCTTGTTTTTCAAGTTCATCTTTTATCTCAAGAGGTTGGTATTGTGCGATGCAATCCTTGTATAACTGCCCTGAAGGTTCTTTCTTCCTTCAGCTGGTATGTATGATGAATGGTTTGTTCATCTGTTAAATGATGGACTAGTTTTCTGTAGGTATCAGAAGTTTTCGGATTTATTTTTATTATATTATCAGACATTGCTGTAGTAATATTGGTTCCCTTTTCGGTGGCTAATGACAGGTTTTGAACCATTTTTTATAATTGACACCACAGGTGTATATGAGGGGCGGTTTATGGCTGATATCATGGTCATTATTTTGATTTGTCGGGTTATTTTCAGGATAATTTTTATTGCTGTTTAAAGTAGGGAGTGGTTGGAATGTGTTTGTTATTTTGATTTGTTCTGGGATATCCTTACGAGTTTGATGTTGAATTCTTTTATGTTTATTATTTACAGTTTGCGAAGAGTGCATTATATTAATTTGGTCATCAGTTTGTTCATCACTGTTCCATTCTTCATATTCATTTATATCAGTATATTGCATGGTTGAGCTTGAGCTAGGATTTGTGTTTGTATACAGTGATGGCACCTGTGTCTGGTTTTGTGATTGATAGCATCCAGCTAATTGATTTTGTTGCATTTGTGGCAAATGCATATTTGAAGTTAGATGACTTGTTTGGTTTTGATATATTTGTGAAGTCTGCATAGGAACTTGATTTTGTATTAAGTTTGGTGGATATATTATGGGCAAATATTGTACACTGGTGTTTGATCCGGGCCCATCTCTGGTTTGGATTTTTTTTTTTTTGGGCAATATCACACTATTTGACCAGACTACTGGTCGTTTACTCACTGCGTTTATCGTACAAATGATCTAAGATGAGAGAACAGTGGTCAACACAATTTTACTGACTCTGAACACTGCACTACCCCAGTCAAACAGGAGGCCTTGCTGCACTATGTTTCCACATCCTCACTGCGTGGCATCTGGTTTGCCACTAGGAACACTTACAATGAAATATATTGTGATGTGTTAGAGTGTGACTGTAGAGGTTTGGATTGGTAATTGGATTTATTGGGCACTTGACACAAAACTCATGACTACACTTTACAAATTGCTATCACACAAAGACTAGTGTTCTCAGTCATGGTCTTCACTACTGTGCTCGGTAACATCTTCCAACAGTGGAGGTTCCTCTGCTTCTCAGCTCACATCATTGCAGGCTGGTGGCCATCTCACCCCAACCTTACTCTTCTTACTGCCATCTCAGGACTCTGTTGTAATGGCACCTGATCCTCATTCTATAGCCTTGACATGGACCCCACAGAAAATACCTCTCCCAACAGTTCCTCTATTATTGCGTAACATATCTATTGGCATGAACCTTGGTGAAAATGTAGCTTCCCACAGTTACTCCATTGGTTCATGTTACACAGCCACTATGGCAGTTTTTCTGTTGGCTTCACAGTTCTGTCTTTCAGCAAACATACTACAATATAAAGGACAACACGATTCACTGTTCATTCAAATACTGCTGGTAGATTCATGGTCCTGGATCTTGAAACTAAAATATGTTCTGCTTATAAAATTTTCGCTTAGATAGAATATTAAATTATGCACATCACTTTATTTAATAATTTGTAACATGTGAGTGAAATAATGTAGACATTTGTGTGATTATGGCCTCTCCATTTTTATTTTTATTTTATTTTTTATATATTTTCAGAAAATAAAAATCATCAGACTATTCCTGTGCAGTGGTGTTTATGGCTGTGGTTTGTCGCATTTTTTTCAACTTCCTTTCATGTCTTAGGTTCAGGTCTGTTCAGTGATTGAGGTTAGCTCTTTCTAATGGACCCCACAAGGTAGGTGTCTCCCACCTCACATGAGGATGGAAATAGATCCAGTTTCCAAAATGTTATGTCCTATATAATACCAGACAGTGGACGCTAAAAATCCCGACTGTATTATTGCTGTCACATTTTTGTTGTTGACGTTAAACACTTTTTGTTTTGATTCAACTGTATTTAATTTATAAGTAGTAACAAAGGACTAGACTTCCCATTTAATTTTCAATGGGCATTATACTAATTATATTTACTGTGGAAAGTCCATGTCTCTCTGGAGGTTTACAACTTGAAGTATTGTTCTTGTTCTTCAATTCCTATATAAAGCCATTGAACAACACAATATGCATTATTTTTATATTTTGAATTACAAAATTTTAAAATGCAGGAGGTTGCTTCAAATTGGTTCTTGAAAAGTATTAGGACAGAAGTATCTACAGAATCCAGATCTGATGACTTAGCATAGCTCTGACTCTGCTTTTTGACAAAACTTTAGGAAAAGTAATTTCATTCTTTATTAAGATATGTGGGCCATGCATCTTATGTTGTTTGCTAAAGGTGGTGTGATCTTTTCGTGTTTGTTTTGCCTCTTGTCTTTTCTGTGCAACTCTTGAGGAATATAACAAGAAATAAGCTATAAACCCCAAAGTATGAAAACAGTTAGTGAGTAAAAGTATTAGTTTTTAGCACAGTTTCCTGACTTAAGGAAGAAAAGGTGCCACCTAACCCTCTGGCTGACTCTTTTCCCTGAACATTTGATCAAAACAAATTCATAGTTTAATTAAAATAAGTTCATTGTGCATGGCATTGAATAAAGGAAAGTAAAAGTATGAGCTCACTGTATACAGTTATCCCTTGAGTTATCAACATCTTGGAGTTACAGATTTTGCATACCAGCTACAAACCTGTGTGCTTCAGAACAATTCTCTGTTTAAACCTCTTAGGTTCTTTCATTGCTTCTCAGCTGGCTGAAGGTGCCCTCTGTTTAAACATTATTGCAATTTTTCGCTTGTTGATTGTTTGTTGGCTCAGTTATTTGCTCTTTTAATTATCATCTTTTTAAAGTAACTGTACCAGTTTCTCAAATTGTACTCTGTAATTGCCTCAGAAATGCTATCATACATAAATTTCATTGTGTGAAAAATGTATATATTTTTATATTGTGCACTTAGAATTATTTGCCATTTGACCTCTTGAATTTTATGCTTGATTTGCCACAGGATCGTCCAACAGAGTAGGTGAGATTTCTTTGGGGTGTAATAGCAGAAGTTCAACAGAAATTATGTCATTGCAATTTTAAGTGCTTTTAATGGTAAAGAGATTACCACTAGACTGCATATTAAATAATGATAATTTTATAGTCCTGTCATTGCAGTCATTCATTTAATTGTGGTTTTACACAAAAGTGAAAGATGACTTGCTTTTGAGTGCTTAGTGAATGTACAGGGTAATATGTGAATGGTTAGTGTTAGGGAACAGTGGTATGCAGACCTGCAAGGTGTGTTATGAGAAACATGGAAAACACTTTATCTTATATCAGTAAAGTTATTTTCTCCTAATCGATCTTCTTCCATCACTGAAATGGAGTGTTATTTTGCTTGTCAGGTACAGAATATCATAAAATCATGGTTTCAGGAAACTGCAGAACAGTTTTTAATATAATTTTGAAGCATCTTTTCTTACAGATGATTTGAACTTTCATCGTTAGATTACTGAAACAAATGCCCTAGTTTCTGTTAAGTTTAATTCTTTGAAGCAAGAAGGTCATATATGTGTGTAAAAATTCATCTCCTGCAAGTCTAAAACACACTGCCTCCATTTTGAAGACCAACTGGTTTATGCTGTTTAGGGTTATTATCATCATTTATTTGGAAAATTAAGGTGTTAAACTTTTATTGATTCTTAGTCATATCATTCTCCAGTGTTATCTAAGTGATGTTTGTACGGTAATAATGAAAGTGTTCCAGTCCGAATTAATGTGGGAATGAGGCCTTAACAGCCTTGTACATGTAAAGGTATGGTTATATGGATCTCAACATTTATCTAATATTTACATGCTGTACATATGTATTATAATGATAATAAAGTTGTATAGATTCAGTGAATTATATTCTTATTTTCTTGCTTCCTGATAAATATCTGTAGATGCGGTGTACTTCTTCTGTATTAAATGTGATATTCCTAAAGTAAGTTTAAGATGTATGTTGTAGATGAAATAATTTTGCCTAGAAAATGTAAGCGTAGAATTGATCAGGTTTTTCATTGGGGTTGTTATTATAAAGAACAATTGAGTTTTTTATATGTATTAAAAATATCTTGCAAGTTAAGTGGGTATGACGTCTTAACATGTCATGCAGTACTCTGTATCAATTGGGTGCACATCATGCGTGTTTTGAACTACACCTTTGTAAGATGTAATGACAGTCAGCAATACAAGTTTGTACATTGTCCTTGCTAGATCTTCGAATTACATCAGAGAGTGAGAGGAAGGTGCTGATTGCTTGATAACTGTCCCGGGTTCGAGTTTTTGCGAGTAAACATGGCAGGTCCTAGCAAGAAGATGCATGTGAATGATGAGGTGTTGTATGAACTGTTGCAAGAGAATATGGTGATATTTCTGAGATCGTATGTAGTAGTGACAGTGAAATAAATGTGAAAATTTTGTCATATTGTAAACAGAGTGTCAACTCTGATGAAGAAGAAAATGTCCATGACAACAGTAACATGCAGCATGGCACATGGGCAAAGTCAGGTGCTGAGCTACCACATTTTCCGTTTACTGGCAAGCCTGTCATAAATGTTGATGTAGAAGACACCAGTAACCCCCTCGAAAGCGGCCTCCGTAGTCTAGAGGTAACGTTCCAACCTCATGACTCGTACGCGGGTTCAAATATCCGGCGGAGGTCGTCAAATTTTTAAGGGCGGAAAAATTCAGGGAAAAAGTCCTCCGGGAGGGACTTTAAGCCATGGGTCCCGTGTCGTAGCTTTACGGCACGTAAAAGAACCTCATATCTCCAAAGGAGGTCAATGAGCCAAATTAACGGACGTTTCCCACCCAACAGCAGTCTCTAATACCTCCGGTAGATGGGGGAAGCATTATAGATACTTCTCAGCCAGTAGAGCCGGTCTCGCTGGCTGGGTGGGACTGATGGTAAGCACCAGTACCGATAGGATATAGAGACTGGTAGAAATCATAGAGGGAAGCACAATGGACCAATACAGGTCTCAGTGCATGGGGAAACCCACCCTCTCCAATAACTAACTAACTAACCCCCTGGAATATTTTGTGTTGCTTTGTACACCAGAAATTATGGAAGTAATAGCCAGAGAAACAAATCAGTATGTCCCAGAATTTTTATGAAACATGCCTAATCTAAAACTAAGATCTAGGATCTGTTACTGGAATGAAGTGAACAGAAATGAAATAATGAAGTTGCTGGCATTCTTTCTGTTACAAGGACTTCAACAAAAACCTGATTCAAAGAGTTATTTTTCACAGAGGGGAATTATTGCCAATATGGCTGTTCTATGATTTTTACAGATCTATGTACAGTCGGTTTTATAAAGATTTTTAACACAATAGTTATTGCTCTTCTTATCAAGTCTTGACCATACTACAACCTGACATCCCCCCCACAGGCACGCATGCATGCACGCGCGCACACACACACACACTCTCCCTCTCCCCCCCCTCCACATTACCTACACTGCACACCTCCCTTCCATCAACATCTCTGGTTCACCTTAATTTACAGTAGAGTCATTTACTTCATTATAATTAATTTCCTTGTCATTGACTTTAATAAAATATAGTAAATTACATAGGAAATGATATGACATGAGTCAATGGAAAGTCCTAACAGGTCCCGGCACAGTAGACCCTCGTTTTATGTGTATTCTGCTTACATATACAGGGCTACTATAAATGATTCATTCGTCTTTAAAACGCTATATTTTCCAAAATATTACACATACAAACATGATTTATATATAAAAAGAACCGTAAACTCACCAAGTTTGTCCTATATGCACCAGTTGGCAGCACGAGTTAAGTGCCTTTACAAAATGGCGACAAGCAGGAAAAGAGTTCGTGTTTGTTGGAATATGCGAGATGTTCATCTGTTATAGCAGTGCAACGCGCATTCAAAAGAGAGTACGGAAAAGAACCGCTATGTAAACAAAGCATTTTGCGGTGGTATCGGCAATGTTCGTCGCTACCTAAACAATGAAGTTAGGCATCGCTGGATTGGACGTGTTGGTGAGGATGACGTAGCTCTGTTCACTTGGCTCCCCAGATCACCTGATCTAACGCCTTGTGACTTCTTCCTTTGGGGGTACATTAAGGATCGTTTTTATGTACCCCCACTGCCAAGAACACTAGTAGAGCTGAGGGAACGCATTGATGATGCAGTGATGACCATTGGCTGGATGATGCTACAAAATGTGTGGACGAGCTCGACAACCGCCTGGACGTGTGTCGTGTGACCCAAGGGGCATACATAGAAGATTTGTAGAGTTTGAAGGAAACTTGGTGAGTTTACAGTTCTTTTTATATATCAATCATATTTGTACTTATATTGCTTTGGAAAATATGGCGTTCTAAAAACGAATGAATCATTTATAGTAGCCTTGTATTAGAAGTTAATGCAATCATTTATATGTATTAGCGGATAAGAACATTTTGTATATACAGTAATTTCCTTTTGTAATGTTGGAAATCCCCCCTGCAAATGGCCAGGCCAAGCCCACTCATGTAAGACAGCGTAGTGTTTGAAAAAATGAGAAGTTAATTACACTGGATGAACTTAAATTTATTGAATGAGAAGTGTATGAGTGAATAATGTCAAATTTTTTAGATATTTAATGACAAAATTATTTTGATCAGTACTAAAACAGAGGCACATAGACAAAATTTGATTGTTGCATGATATGTGCAATATGTTGTGAATGAAGTGGCACTCAGCTAGATGATAAGGCAGCTCAGAAGTATGAACAACGCTCTCGATGGTGCATTCTTAATAGGAATTATGTATTATGCTAATGAATTTTGAAATTAGTGAGCTTCTTAGAACAATGTAATAACATGTATGTTTTGCAGACACGGTAGGGGCTCTGCTTTTGGACGTTCCAAATTATAACTGAATATAGTATTATGCTCATAAAATACTTTTGGAATCAAGTGTTTTCAGTATTATGTTATCGAATAATGAACTACTGGGGACATGTTTTGTTCAGAAATAGGAATATTATGCTTCTTTTCTGGATAATGAATTTCCAAGATATTGTAATTTATTCTCTACCTGAACATGATCATAGGCTTTTATGGTTGAAAAGAATTTGTATAGACCAATATATTTATTAATCACAAGAATCAGCTGTTATCAAGCATAAGTTATATGGACCCATTAAAAATATGACTACAAAAGAAATTTGTGAATTTCTTCAGATGTTAGTTAGAACAGCCTTCCCAGAACTTTGTGAATGGCCACGTTTCAGTTCTGATATAATCGTTTCTGTGCAAAGCGATAAAAGAACATGACACACTTATTCACTTCTTTATTTGCAAACTAAACATCCAATTATATGAACTGTGCATTATTAACATGTATGAGGAATTTACACAGTGTCTGTAAAGTAATACACAAGGTAGTTTGAAAACATGCATGCTCAAAAATAGAAACAGTATTGTGTGGAAGGATAGAGATACACATGAGATTTGAGGTTCTCGTGGCGGTGACTATGAAGTTTACTCTCTCCTGGGATTTCACCAAACCATGCAGTGTCCCGTTCAAGAAGACGTTTCCCTTCAACATCTGGAACAAAGCTTGTATTATTAGGATACTCGTACATAAATTTTTAGAATGTACTTAACTGCCTTTCTACAAGTACACCACCAAAATCTGCATTATTTAACAATACACAAAAATGCCAAAACCTTCTAACAATTTCCAGAACAGCAATGAAACACATATTTTTGAACCAGTTGTGAGAAGTTGGACCATTCGCTGTAATAGTCCTGCCACCAGAACACGGCTACTTTAATTGACACTAGTAAGGGGGTTGATCTAGGAGTAAACACAGAGAAAACTAAATATATGTTGCTATCTTATCACCAGAATGCATCGCAAAATCATGACATGAAGATAGGTAACAGATATTTTGAAAATGTGGCGCAGTTAAGATATTTTGGAACGACTATAACAAATCAAAACATGATTAAGGAGGAAATTAAGAGAAGAGTGAATTCAGGTAATGCTTGCTACCATTCAGACCAGAACCTTTTGTCTTCTTGTCTGCTGTCTAAAAATAAAAATTAGAATATACAAAACCATAATTTTGCCTGTGGTTTTGTGTGGGTGTGAAGCTTGGTCTCTTGACATTAGGGGAGAAACGTAGACTGAGGGTGTTTGAGAACAGGGTGTTGTGGAGAATATTTGGACCGAAGAGAGATGAAGTGAAAGGAGATTGGAACACTGCATAAAGAGGAGCTTCACAACTTGTACTCTTCTCCAAGTATAATCAGAATGTCAGGTCAAGGAGGATGAGATGGGCAGGTCATGTAGCATGAATGGAGAAGCATTGGAATGCATATAGGATATTGGCGGGAAGGCCAGAATGAAGGAGACTGCTGGGAAGACCAAGGTAGAGGTGGTTGAACAATGTTTTATAAAATGGATCTTAAAGAGAAAGGATGAGGTGGTGTGGACTGGATCGATCTGGTTTGGGATAGGGACCAGTTGAGGGCTCTTGTGAACGCGGTAATGAACCTTCGGGTTCCGTTAAATTCTGGGAAGTTCTGGAGTAGCTGCACAATTGTAAGCTTCTCAAGAAGGGCTCGGCTCTATGAAGTTAGTTAGTTCTGCCACCAGCTGGAAATAGTAGCAGCTTTCCGTTCCAGCTAGGGAGTCCAAAAAAAATTTCAACATTGGAGGCCCGTCATGCCTGCAGTTATTATTTAAGCAATTTTTCTTTAGGGAGAATACTTACTAAGAAGAGTCATACCTTCTGCAGACTGAGGCGACATGTTCCTCCGGAAAGTCTGTTAAATTTCAACGGACTGCACGGCGTTATGTCCCAGAAGACAGAAGTCTTCATAATCACCGCT